TGCTAAACTGTAGGGCTAAAATATGTCAAGGCCGTATTCTAAGCTCATCCCTGCATATATTATAATTCTCAAGAGAATTTCTACCTAGATATATATAATAAATGTTTAAATTTATTGCTGATAAATTCTGCATGGATTAAAACAATGCCAATTTTTATATTGTATAAAGTATGAACACTTCCATTTATTCAAAACTTATTATTTGATCATAAGTCAGATGACGTTGTCCAAAACTGGATTTTTATTTCTACAAATAACTATGAAAACATAAAGTCCCTTGATTAAAATAAAATCATCATTAACTTACTAGATAGAGAAAAAACATCAGCTGATTAGTGAATTGAAAAACTGCGAGATAACATATTAGTACACAATAATAGTACAAATATTTTCAGATTGAGGGAATATACTATGCAAAAACAAATTATTTTTTCACTAATTTGGAAAATAGGATAAAAGTTCAGTACGAAATTATTTCTTTAAAGAAAGTGACAATATTTACGCATAAAGTCTACTGTTAACAAACACTTAGAAGAGTATGTATAGGGGATATTGGAGAATTATACAATTAAAAGCCTTGGACAGAATGTGATGGCTTTAGACAATCTATATGATCACATGAAAAAACTGAGTCCCAAATGCAGAGAGAACTCTAAGAATATAGGCGTAAATTGTCTGGTTCGGAACCGTAGGAACGGTATTCATATGATTAAACTAAATTCATTAAATTACAAATCTAAATTCGATTCAACTATATTTGTAGCTGATACTCAGTTAACAAGTTAGCTCATAAATGACGTAACAGTTGTCAAATTTCGTACAAGTACACGTTTATGTACTTGACTGAGCCATAGTCTAAATGTATGAGCAGTAATGATGGCTTCCGGTTGTCCAAACCGAAGTATATGAAGCAGGATTGGAACTCCCGACTTACTGTATGAAGTCCGACTATCTTAAAAAAAACATGGGCTCTACTATCTATTTAATATATCGACAGGAAACCAGAAGTCGAAAGGAAAATACTACCAATAGTACTAGTAATGAACAGAGCAAATACACTTGTTCAAGAGAAATAGATGAAAAGATTAAGGTTTGCTACGGGTAAATGTTTGAGAGAAGTTCTCCCTACAAATTATTGATTTTTGTACCAACCCGCGATCGTATATTAGAACAATACAGGATTCGTTTCTATTATGAATAATCTTTCAAGTTCCAATCACTAAGAATACATTTTTGCCCACATATCAGGAAAAATTCAGTTTTTCATAATAACAGTCGAAATAAAAACATTGAAATTGGATGTTTACTTTATCGAAATTATTGGGTATCCGACGGAATATTACTGCAATAAGTGCACACAATAGTAGGTTGTGAATTTCATGTATGTGGGTAGCTACATAAATGCTCGTGACATGGCCCAGAATCAATCACAATAGCGTAGGTGTATACACTCTGTCTTCCCTTAAACCGTGAGACTAAAATTGCTTTATATCTTTCTACGAACTAATTCTTTCTTCCTGTATTATATCCTTATACACAATCTTTTAAATATTGCTACCACTGAAGTAACTACTTATATGAATTTGGTGTTCAACCTGTTGCGCAAATGAGGTGAGGCAACTTGGACCGATGCATATATGTGTATGGTCCTACGTTGTAGCTGACTGACTAGTCCGGCTGCAAAACGCCGGATAAGGCATCGATAAGAGCAGTTTTGCTTTATGCTTGTGAAACCTGGCCTCTCCAGATCGAGGATGTTGAACGACTATCTGCTAAATCATCGTTGTCTTCGAAGGCTTGCTTACGTTCAATGGCAACACCATGTTAGTAATGCTGAGGTTCAGCATCGTATTTGAGCACAGTGACGACAACCCAATCAGTGTCACTATCTTGAAACGTCGACTTTGATGGCTTAGACATGTCCTACAAATGTTGTACCAGCGAGTCCTACATTGTGCATAAATGCCGATGATGTAACTGGTTGAAAAAAAGCGGAGATGGTCAGTGCACGATATGGTGTCGTGGTATGAAGGAAAGCTGCACAGGACTGGCTTCTGTTCGTTCGTCATTACTACCTGGTTAGGGTCCTAGAGATAGCGTAACACAGTAACTTGAGACGCTATCAGAAATCGCTCATAATAAAAGATAATGTCGAACCTACTGTAAATTCCTCCATAAAAGTGAACGTTACTTTTTTAACTGAAAGGATTCTTTCTGGTTGTATTTTTCCTGACTGGAATACTCCCATTATTATTATTATTATTATTATTATTATTATTATTATTATTATTATTATTATTATTATTATTATTATTATTATTATTATTATTATTATTATTATTTTACCACTTTTCACTCACAATAATTTCTATTCATCTTTGTCCTATTTTGATTATACTCACCTTCCTTTCTGTATAACTTCACAACATCCTTTTATTGTGTGGCACATATATATTTGGTGTCCCTTGTACCAATTTTTATTTGTTCAAATAAATAAAATTAGTTTATTATTGTTTCGCTTTATTAAAATGCTTGAATCTATGAAATTATAAAAGTATTTTCATTTGTTTAAGGAACAATGAAGTTGATGAATTTCTACAAAGTGTAATGATCCAGAGATCAATCAGTCTTGTGGCAAGTGATTCTACAATAATGTCGGAGATATTAGATCCCCAGAAATCACTTGGTCAACGTCTCATTTTTGTAATTTTATTCTAGAAATTTGAATATGAACCAAATGGGAAATACAATCGGAAGGTAAAAATAGGCTCTTTCGGCGCGAAAACTAAAAATTCAAATTTCTAGAATAAAATTACAAAAATGAGACGTTAACCAAGTGATTTCTGGGGATCTAGCATCCTCAACAAATGATACCTTCTATAATTTGTGAATAAATAATATAGTTAAACTGGAAGTGAATAGGTCAGACATAAATTTATGTAGCTTCATACATTTAGCCGATGACGTTTATTACATTAAAAAGAATAAACAATGAAAGAACATTGTTCCATTGAGTTAGATTTCAATTAAACAATGCATAAAAAGACAAAGGAATGGTACCACTTTTTCCAACATTCTTTGTTGAAAAGCTCTTCTTTCTGAAATTGAATCGCAAGTCCGACAGATCGTTTCTACGACGCACGTCCTATATCAACTACTATCCATGCTCCTAACGCTTAATCAACTGAAGATAAAGAAAGACTGTGAGAGAATTGTGTTGCGACAGGTCGGATGAAAGTACTCAGATTTCACAAGTATTTGTAAATATAGACAGACTAACCCAGGCATGGACATATGTATAGTGAACTAGGTTAGATAAGTAATTTACTTATTTATTATGGCTCATCTATATATGCTTTTAGTTTGTTATGTAGCTTTGATGTGTGATTTTTCTGGCTTTGGTCATTCTGTCAATGTGAACTATAACTAACAAGAAATATCAGTTCTTTGAATATAAGTTGTACAATGCAGTTAATTAGTCTGATAATTCAACATCCAAAGGGTTTGTGATGTTTGTTTTGTCCTAATGAAAATGAATTTTCAGTCAGCGATATAGTGAATATCACGAAAATAAAACCTTTAGAAAAAAATATAAGCTACTGAAATAAGCATTCGGTCTGATTTTATCACTATTAATTATCCTCTATGTCAAGGACGAAACATTGTCACGACAACGCTACTACTAGCACAAATGTCTAATAAATACAGCCAACACTATCATGAAATAAACTGATCATAAAACTAGAGCCATTGACATCAGTTGTATGATATAAGATCATTATTCGCATAATTATGTTTTGTTTAGAAACCCATAAGTATTCCAACTTATAGATACTACTATTATTTTATCTGCGTGATTATAATGACATTGTTTTATTTTACTTAATGTAACACCAAACTATATGTAAATGTACTCAGTTTTAAGTAACACTGTATGAGACCTGATTAAATCGAATAGTGCAGGATTAGAATCTCAGACTTATTGGTTGAAAGTGTAATTGCTCTAAACACCTATACCAATGCTCTATGGACTGGGTGAAACATGAGAAAAGAGGGCATAGTTTAGCTGTTTAGTTCTATATGATGCTTAAGGATACATCTAATTTTATTAATAATATATAATTTGGAGGAATAAGTATGAGAGGTGGGGGTTATAATATGCACTTTAAAAACAAAAGTTCAATGAATATGTCAAATTAATTCAACATGTTTCTATTTTTGCTTGTATTTTCCAACAAACATTGTACAGCTAGGAAGAACACACTAAATTATTTTGATTTCTTAGAAGATATAAGCCCACCTCTGTCATATCCAAAGAAGATTAAATTATTGGTAACTTCTAGGAACTATTTATGGACTGTTATAATATGTACATATTCTTATTGTATAACTATCAAGTAACTAGATTACATATATTTATATTTCTCTGATTATAAGCTTTCATTTGACTTACTGGTTACTATTATACGATTCATTATTCTTAAATAATTTCCAATTTATTAGTTGCAGTTTATCACACTCACAGACACTTTTGGCTCTATCTTGTCTAATTATTATTTTACATTTTATGGTGTGATGTGGTCTAGTCTGCTTGCATATAAACCAAGTATGTCTGAAGTATACGATTCATATAGCGGAGGCTGATATTTGTGTTCTGGACTGAATCAGGCTGGGTTAGGCGAGAACCTACCATACAGAGGACCCAGAGTTGACTCAAGACTGGTTGTGATGGTTAACGCATTATTGGTTTGGCACACGGACAATGTCATATAAGTCGTTGTTCTGATTGGCGATCTTGTCACGTAATATTTGACGGGCCATAGAACATAACAACTTTCATTTAAAAAACCAATTCTTTAACAATTATCGTTATCGAGAATCGTGGAAAAAAGCATAAAACATGACGAATACGAATGGTATACACAAACTAAATGTAAGTAGACAATCACTAAACAAGAAATAAAAATAATCAAAAAAAAACATAAGAAACATGTAATTACCAAGACTGAACGAAGACCTCGAGCTCCTGTATGTTGACTTAATGCCAGTCGAGCAATAGCTTTTAGAGCATCAGGAGTGACTCTCAGTTCACACTAAGAATCAAAACAAAAAAACAAATAGAAAGGCAGAGAAGACAATCAGAATAGAGAAACAAAATAGATTAGAAAATTACATTAACTAACTGAAATGACGTACAAGATATTTAAATAAGTAAGTTATCTGAGGAGCCAATGCTATTCTTCAGACATGATCGTAGTCTCTGGTCTCACAAATCATTTACTATCTCTCTTAACTTCTCCTGTTAGACCGACTTAGTCCTATTTCCCTGGCGTTGATGATACTTCAATTTTAAATTTATCTTATTATGAATCCCTACTCAGTGATCTAGAGGTTAGGCGTTCGTAGGCAGGACTGAAGGTCATGGGTTCGATTCCCAGTTGGAGGGTTGTGTATACGGATTTCCAGGGAGTCCCATACCAAGACGAAATGGCCATTCACTACTTTCAGGTTTTCAATGGTTGTCTTAGATAGGTTCATGATTTCAATGAAATTCAGCAATCTCTCCAACCCCATACTGAAAATCATCATGTTGACTAACCTACTTCCACAGTTATTAAACATTATCTATTTTCTGTGACGCTCACGATCAATTTCTCCGGCTCTATAACAACTCCGTTTCAAAACTCCTGATCAGGATATACTGCCTTTTAAACAGTTCTACTGCTATCACTTTTGTTATTGTTAGTAAACAATAAAGTAGTAAACTATGGTCGAGAAATAAAAATGTTAGAAAAGTATCACACATTTGTGACCAGTACAACTACGAGAGAATAATATTGCTGCTCATGTATGGTGGCCAGGTAAGGATAACAAATCGAATAATGTGGCGGTAGTGAGTCTTCGTCGACTGAAGTTATTGAGACACATGAATTATGCCTATACCCAACCACCTTTCACTTCGACGCATGATGATGGTCGATGTAGGAATGTTACTGATTGATATTACTGCTACTTCAACTAGTAGTTTCACAGTCATATTACGACACACCCCGATTTACTAACAAATGTATTTTTACATTTAAAATTTCATCTTTGTTTATGTTTATGACATAAACTGCAGTGTACATTTGATCGTATAAATAACTTTACTCAAAGAATCTATATTGTTTTCTCGAACCGAATCTATGTCTAATCGGTCCTACTACTATTAATATTGATGCAACTTGTAGTAATCTGACATTTCGCTATGCTGATGTGCCGTGGCAACTTGAACCGTTGTGAATATGTCCCAGCTTCTGTTTCCGTATAATTGATCAACATCTCTTCGTTAGATCCCACAAACACGCACATATATGTAAATAAGCGCACTATTGTTTCAAGTCAGAATATTTTAAGCATAATTAATAAAGTGAGAGAAATTAATTGATCATACAGTAATTATAAAACTAACACTTACACCATCAATATTAAAAAGTAATTGATATTGTTTTATCAGTGCATTACGTGGTTCTGTAAGAACACGGACAAGCATTTCTTCATTTAATGAATGTAGAGCAGTAATTATAGGGAAACGACCAACGAATTCCGGTATCATCCCATAAGTAATAAGATCATTAGCTTCAACTTCTTGTAACAATTTATCACGTTCAGCATTTTCTTCATGAGCTGAACTTTCAAAACTTTGAAATAAATTTACAAAATCTGTCGTATTTGGATTGACTGATGAAGTGCAATTATCTTGTGTAGTCGATTCATTCAAAGATGTCAACATATCAAATCCAATAGTCTAAGATTTGAATTAAAACAAAGAACGTAGGTGAATGTGAATTCAAACTACAAAAATCTGAAAACTTATTAACTTGGATGGAAAAAAGTTACAGGGATACTACTACTGATCAGTAATATTAGTAAATGACTTCTAGATCAATTTAACTAACATCACCACAAACTGATAGTCCAATTTACTCGATAGCAAACAGAGTATTATACAGAAATATTTTTCCGGGTATAAAGTTATGGTTCCAGATAATCGATAGGAAACTAGGTTTGGTGTCGTTTGGCACTCGTCTAAGATGATCTTGGGGGACCAATGACCCTTGGAGGATTCGACCTTGTGTCATCCAGCTCCACAATCAGAGATGTTACCAATGAGCTATCCGGGTAGACCTCCTGCAGGTGTGAGATGTATTTACAATTGATTGATCACTAAGTAGCAACCAATGTCATAGATTTTAAGTCCTTCGAATTCTATTGATCAAGTTGCAAATATGTCATATTGGTCACTACTCAGTGATCAGTTAACTGTAAAATACGTAGCAAACCTGCAGGCCTACCCGAATAGCTTAGTGAAAACGTTTTTGACTGTGAATCTGGATGATACAAGATCGACCCCCCCCCCGAGGAGTATCAGTTTTCCGAAGATCACCTTGGTAATGAGTGACAAACGGCACCGAATCTAGTTCCCTATAGACTACCTCCAACCATCACCTTACATCTCAACATACTGAACGTGATGTCGAGTCACTTAGATCAGTGTGTGTCATCAACTGATGAAACAGTCGATCATTATTTCCAAAATATGAATAGTAAATAGTAGAATGCTAAATTAATAATACACTATGGTTAGCTACGTACGAAAACCTTCTATTAAAATGAATACATACAACTTGACAGCCCTCTCACTAGTTAATGTAATCTTGGCATCAGTTCACCTGAACCTGTTAAACTGAATTCACCAACAAAACTAAGTGCTCACATCCTAAATGCATTCACGGACATTGTTGGACTCTATTGGCAAAGAAGAGAACACATCGCAACTTAGATTCTTCCAATAGGAAAGTTGGATTTCTTTTTCTTCAATCAGAACACTACGATACACTTCGAGAGCATAGTTGAAACGTATAAATGTAAAAAAATGAAGAGAAATCATATATAGATATCGAGTCCTGGAGTCAACATCACCTCTGGAATGCACTGGCGCCCAGAGCCCCAATAGAATTAAATGTCCTCCTGGGTTCCACTGCTAGCCATCATTCGTCTCTGTTTAAAGTGCGTGTAACTTAATGAGGATATCGGGGCAATCCGCACACAACGTGCACATACCAAGTGACTGATCAATCCCGACCGTTGTTGCTACCTTGACGTGGTGGTCGGGCTTGCCTATCGTGATGAAGCAACCGAGCTATACTGGCTGGAACAACTGTTCCTCAAGGTCCTACCATGTCAGACAGGTCGGTTGAAGAGCGGTAAGACTAAAAGCAACAAACCCAAGGTCCGAAGGCGAAGTCGTACTGCTGACTGTACAGAGGTGTGACAGCAGTAAGGTGTTTCCTTCAGACAACCAGCATGACAGCGATGCTGCCTTCCCACAAGGAGGGGTGGGGTTAGAAAAGGTCGACCCTAAAAATGCACACCTCACCTTACCTCACGGATCTCCGTCTCCGGCGGTAAGGCCCTTTGAAGAACGGAGCTAACACGTCGAAAACCTTCCACGAAAAGGCCGTGCGCGACCGGCCTCAAGCAGTTGTCCCTTGGGCACTGCGGTCACGCTCTCAGGTCACTGAGACCACCTCTAATCCAATTTCCTTTTCAGGTACCTCCAGAAGAACCCTTCCTCGGTGTGGGCAACCGGGAAGTGATAACCGCCCTCATACCTCTAACAGCACCCAAGATCACTGTATTCATAATCAACCTTCCTCTTCAATTCCTATTATTCCTCCTACATCGACTTTCAACTTTAAATCTCCTCCTTCGGCTTCCTCTTCAAGTGTCACCATAGCCAACGATTCTAGTGCTCAAAACTCTGTCCCAGGTCTACTGAAACCTCGCTCCAAACTACACATTGGAGCTTTCAACGTACGCACTCTATGTCAAATCGGTCAACAGGCTTCCTTGGCTAAAACCCTAGAGTCTCTTACCATTGATGTATGCTGTGTCTCTGAAACACGCATACAGGATCCCAGTGTGGTCATTCACTTGACCTCACCTCGGCAAAACGGAGAGCCAACGAGATACACCCTTCGTGTATCTGGTGACCCGATGGCCAGTTCTCGTGGACTGGCAGGTGTAGGCATAGCACTAAGCATGAGGGCCGAACAAGCACTGCTAGAGTGGATCCCCGTCAACAGTCGTCTATGTGCTGTTCGGCTGAACGGCTGCGTAAGAACTCGGAAGGATAGGGACACACGTCGTTGCCTTTTTGTCGTTTCTGTCTACGCTCCCACTGACTGCAGCTCAGATGAAGTGAAAGATGAATTTTACAGAAAGCTTTCTGAACTTCTTCAGAAAGCTAAACGCTCAGACATAGTACTCGTAGCAGGTGATTTTAATGCTCAGATAGGTAGCTTAAACCAAACAGAAAGGCATTTAGGTGGATATTTTAGTATTCCGACACAGCGAACAGATAATGGTGATCGTTTGCTGCAGCTATGCTCAGACAATCGTTTATTTTTAGCAAACACAAATTTTAAGCATAAGGAGAGACATCGTCTAACATGGCGACCCCCTACACCAAACCAACGATGGACTCAAATAGACCATATTGCCATCAGTCATCGTTGGAGAGGGTCGGTAGAAGATTGTCGCTCATTCTGGAGTACCTGCTTGGACTCCGACCATGCCCTAATACGGGCACGCATCTGCTTGCGCCTCACTGGACGCAAAAAAGCCACATTAAAAAGACCCGTTAGAACTGAGTTGAGTAACGAGAAAACCAAAAGTAGGTTCCAGGAACAACTGAGGTCACACTTAGGTAGTTGTGAAGACGAGGCTGACCCAGATGTTGCTTGGAAGGGCATACAATCAGCTGTGGAAACAGCAGTGACATCTATTAGTGACTTAAACCACAGAGTTGCAAGGAACCAGTGGATTTCTTCTAGGTCTGTCACACTGATGGATTCTCGCAAAGTCGTCCCATCAGGTTCTGAACATGATGAAGAGCGAAAACAAATCAGATCTAGGTTAAGAAAAAGTCTAAGGAACGACCGTGAGCAGTGGTGGGTAACGAAAGCAAAAGAGATGGAAAAGGCGGCGACTATAGGAAACACAAGACAGCTTTACAGACTAATAAAAGAAACTGGAATTAATAAGTCAAGTGTAAGTGAGATTATTTCGGAAAAAGATAATACTCTCATCTGCTCCCAGTCCAGACGTTTAGAACGATGGGCGGAACATTTTAGAGAACAGTTCAGCTGGCCTTCAGCTACTCTACAACTACCCTCCATTCCCAGACAATGTGAATGGAACATTGAAGTAGGTCCCCCAACTCTTGCTGAAGTTCAAAAGGCTATAGTTAATCTGAAACGAGGAAGGGCAGCTGGTCCAGATGGATTGGCTCCAGAGGTCTTTAAGGATGGTGGTCCAATTTTAGCGATTAGGTTGACTAATATTTTAGCTAAGATCTGGGAATTAGACTTTATCCCATCTGACTGGTCGCAATCACTTATCGTCCCAATATATAAGAAAGGGTCAAAATCATCCTGTGACAACCACAGAGGGATTAGTTTAACAAACATAGTATCTAAAATACTGGCCTCGATAATTATCAGACGTCTAACTAAGACTCGTGAACTACAAACTCGAGAGAACCAAGCTGGCTTTAGACCTGGTCGTGGCTGCATCGACCACATATTCACCATTCGTCAGGTTCTAGAACACAGGCATACCTATCGGCGTCCGACGATGGTGGTCTTTCTTGACTTAAAAGCAGCGTTTGACTCTGTAGACCGCGAGACTCTGTGGCAGTGTCTGTCATTGAAAGGCGTACCTCAGAAGTACATAAACCTTGTGAAGGCTCTTTACTCGAACACTACTAGTCGAGTCAGGGCTTATGGCGAACTGTCATCTACTTTTGCAACTTCAAGTGGTGTCCGTCAAGGCTGTCCGCTTTCTCCATTTTTGTTTAACTTCATCATAGACCTATTGATGGAAATAACACTCTCGTCGACTGAATTCTCGGGTATTGATCTCCTTCCAGGAGGTCCACTTATCGACTTAGAATACGCAGATGACATAGTCCTGTTTGGTGAAGACGCTGACAAAATGCAGAGTCTTCTGGTAGCACTAAGCAACAATGCCAGAATGTTTGGGATGCGCTTCTCTCCCTCTAAATGCAAGTTGTTGCTTCAGGACTGGTCTGCATCAACACCTAAACTAAGGATAGGGAGTGAAGTAGTCGAACGCGTTGACAACTTCACTTATCTTGGAAGTCTGATCAGCCCTAATGGGTTGGTGTCTGACGAAATCTCAGCACGGATTCGAAAAGCTCGCTTGGCTTTTGCCAACTTACGTCACCTTTGGCGAAGGCGAGATATCCGTCTATCAATAAAAGGACGAGTATACTGCGCGGCAGTCCGTTCTGTCTTACTTTACGGCAGCGAAACATGGCCTTTAAGAGTAGAAGACACCCGTAAGCTACAAGTATTTGACCACAGATGCCTTAGAAATATTGCTGGCGTCTGCTGGGATCACCGGGTAAGTAATAGTGAGGTTAGACGCAGGGTATTAGGTAACGATGGTAAATCAGTTGATGAGGTTGTGAATCTTCATCGACTGAGATGGTTGGGCCACGTATTACGTATGCCTGAACACCGATTACCACGACGTGCAATGCTAACCGGTGTAGGGGATGGTTGGAAAAAAGTTAGGGGCGGCCAAACCAAAACGTGGCATCAGTGCTTGAAGTCACTAACTTCTAGTCTTAGCCATGTTGGTAGATGCAGACTACTTGGTTGGGGTCCGCGTGACTTTCGTAACCAATGATTGGAGACTCTTGGTGATATGGCTCAGAATCGATCACAATGGCGTCGGTGTATACACTCCCTGTCTTCCCTTAAACTAAGAGATTAAAATCACTTCATATCTTTCTTTCTACGAACTAATTCTTCCTTCCTATACTATATCCTTATTGCAACCTTTGACCTAACCACTCCTATGAATCCGGTGTTCATCTTGTTGTGCTAATGAGGTATGGCAACCTGGACCGATGCACATATGTGCCTGGTCCTACGTTGTAGCTGACTGACTGACTGACTGACTGACTGATCAATTGCAGTTTTAAAACCAATGGGGAAATTTAACCAACCAATACAGGTGAATAAAACTTAGTGTTTAACTAGATCTACGGGTATATTAAGAACAACACAAATTAAGTACTTCAGATGACCTGAAATAAAAACGTAAGATAAAGTAAGGAAATTTTTTTAGAACAACAAAAAAACAGAAACCAATCAAACCTTTTTATGTTTTCGTCGACTAATTATCTTGTCAAGTCCATTAAATGCACCACAGGCTATAAAAAGTATGTTGGTTGTATCCACTAAGAAAGTTTCACCACGTAATTTACGCGGACTTTTGACATCAGGTACGTTAACAAGTGAACCTTCTAACAGTTTTAACATAGCCTATAAATACGATTTTTGAAGAAGAAATAAGAAATAGATAATTGGATAGTGGGGAAAAAACATCAAACAAGCATTTATTTCACATAAATATTGTGTTAACAACGAAAGTAGCGGCAGTAGTAAGAACCAATTAAAATACCTTTTTATTCGAGCAACAAACTAACTACAGTAAAATTTTATAACTATTATTATTAGAACTTAAAAACAGATACAAAGGCGGACCAAAGTATATATGCATCACACAAAATTTGTGAGAGCTGGAATACTGCCCGGGCGCCCAAACCAAAGCAAGTGGTTTGTATAGGGAAGCACTCCCAGAAATTGTGGACTAGAAATCTAATCCACAAGGTTGTTGAGCAACGTTAGGAGATGCATTCCCATAATATACGGTGATTAGGAATAGTTGTATACGCCATTTGTTACTTTAGGATAGTGGATCCCGTGTGTACCATTAGTTTGGGATCAGGGTTTTTCAACTCTTGTAGATGGGTCATTTGTATCCACCAAATCGGTTTAAGCTCCAGACAATCACTTTGTGTCTTTTCAATTTCGCAGACAGCATCTGCAGACTCTCCCCACCCAAGGCTCCTGCACCGAAGCATTTTACGGCAGTAAAACTTTGATATTAGAAACATTACTCAACATGTAAAAAGTAATATAAAATATCACAACCAAGTATATATATATATATATCCCACCTGTTGAACACCTTCACCACTGACATCTCGTGCAGCATGATGATGCCCAGTTTTAGAGCTTATTTTGTCTATTTCATCTAGAACCACTATACCTTGTTGAGCAAGTTCCACATTGAAATTCGCATTTTGTAATAATCTACCAATAGTTGATTCAACATCTTCACCAACATAACCAGCTTGGGTTATACTTGTACAGTCATAAAGAGCGAAAGGTACATTTAAATAATTAGCCAAAGTTTGGGCCAACAGTGTTTTGCCTAAAAATAACAAAATCCAAAATTTTCAAGCGTTGTTGAGATTATAATATACTTATACATCATATGGAATGTTTCATACGCCAAAAGGATAAGAGCACACTGATAAGAAAATACGTGATCATGTTAAGAGTTTGAAGAAAATAAATTAATCAAAGTGAATTCAGTAACTATGGTTCATTGTTTCATTTTTAAAATATAGATTAAAAAAGGATAAATGAAGTATTGTTATTTGAAACATGAAGTAAGCATTGATACCAATCTTGATACATTAATTAATATATCTCACACGTCATCGCATTCATCACCAAAAGATAGGGCTGGGAATATTATAAGAAATTGTTGACACAAAAGGTAATGATTATTTGGTTGTATAGTGAATCAGTAAACTCCCACCAACAACCAAACAAGATGTTATACGCACCCCTCACCTTCAGACGCAAGTACTAGGTACCCAATGTATCGAAGTTATGTCGTCCAAGGAGTTAGAACTAAGTTCTCCAACACAACTATATCATTTTCACAGAACCAACAAAATCTCCAATTTTCCAAGTCTTTAAAAAGAAGAGCCACATGGTGAAACAAGCAGGCGCAAGTACATTTTAGGACCGAGATCCTTAATTTTGGCGAGTGAACAATTTTTAAAAAAAAGATTAAACTGTACTATAACTTACAAAATTTAAGTACGTAAATAACACTTCTGCCACAAAAGTTGGTGATTCATTTATATGATTAGCTGATTCGAGTATATTTTCAATTCAAAAAACATAACAGACATCATGTGCTCACTATTGACTAGCTTCAAGATGTAACTCTTGGAGTTCTAGTGAGAGGCCGTGACCAATGAATTCAATTTGTGTCGCATGTGAGATAGTAAATGTCTAACTTTAATCAATTCACGATATTCCCTGGCCATGTTCCATTGACTGAGGTGGATAAGTGTCTCATACACAACGCGGTTGAAATCCATCAGTCACGGCTTTTCATTGAAACTCCAGAAATTATATATTGAAGCTAGTTACTAGTGAGCATATGATTGAAGTTAAACATGTATATCATTGTATCCCGACACAATGGTTTAGATATTAAGCGTTTATGTGGGAGATTGAAGGTCCTGAGTTCGATCCCCGTGTGAAGTGTCTTCGATGCTCGCTTCTGAGGAGTCCCAATATTAGGACAAGACGGTCATTCAGCGCTTCTAAATTTCCAATAGTAGTCTACCTAAGACTAGTTCATAAGTTTCACTGAGAAATTAATGAATCAAGAGACCAGTGACAATTAGGATTGTTTTTAAAAAATAGCATAAAATGGCTGTACGACAAATACTCATAAAAGAAATGCAAACTAATTCACTTAAGAAAGTAACCACCCACATCTCATGTTCTGCTTTCTCTGCACCTGTCGAATACAAATTACAACCCATTGTTTATTCAATACTTATCCCAGAGACCTAGAAATGACTCTCACTGGAATATGGAACAATTTATATGTCATTTTTAAGTGAACAAACATGAAGTATTGAGTCGTATGCTGTTACCAGTATTTTAATATTATAATAGACAGTGAATGCTCAATAAGATTATGACTCACCATACCAATCAGTTAAATTTCCAAAATATTGAACTGATGCTACAAGTCGTACGTTACTTTACTTGAAGTATACTAATAAAAAAGCGTTATTAACGTGTAAAAGTATCATGAATTGTAGATAAATGGATTATATAGCAATACAACCCACTACTACAGGTTTCCATGTCCCCATTCTCATCTGAGCAAATCATTCCATAAGTTATTAATGTTAATGATTGACTGTCACAAATAAATAACTAATATAATTAATTTGTCTTTTTTAATTATTTAATTATTCACACACACATTTACAGTGTGTAAAAGGTCAGAATATTTATAAATAATAAATTTACTTAATCGTACAAAGTCTTTTTTCTTTTGATTGAGTGATGAAGCACAGAGAACTCAGTCAGTCAGCCACAAAATATACCAGGCACATATGTGTATAGGTCCAAGTTGCCATACTTCATTAACACAACAAGATGAACACCGGATTCATAGAAGTAGTTCATTCAGTGATGGTGATTTATAAAAGAAAGATTTTATATAAGGACATGGTACAGGAAGAAAGAATTAGTTCGTAGAAAGAAAGACATGAAGCAATTTTAATCTCATAGTTTAAGGGAAAACAGAGAGTGTATACACCTATGCCAGAAAAAGAAGTACAAAAAGGACAAAAACTATTTCACATAAAACAGACTTGGAATTACTTATTTTTCCTAAATCAATAATTTTGAAATCCACATTACCTGAACCTGTTGAGCCTAACAATATAATGTTGCTTTTTTCCAATTTTAATGGACGATCAACATCATCTTTAAGAATCCGTGAGGCACGACGTTTTTCTCGATCATCCTTCATATCAGATAAATTTTCTAAAGTAATTGGAAACGGAAATGAACTTGTTGGACTATCTCCATGTGTAAATGGATTTTTCGATGAACTTAGTGAACCATTGCGTGACAAATTAAATAATTCTAAAAATAAGTAGAATGTGCGTATGTTGAGTTCAAGAAGATAAACACAGAATGCAAAAATAATAATAATAATATTAGCATTTAATGAGTTCACTAAGTACAAATCAAAATGATTGTATATGATATGAAATAGTTATTTTATCAAGAATAAAATACAAAAACAAACAAGAATGGTCAGTTGTTCAGAAACCGAAATGAAATAAGTTGATGAGATTATTGCTAATTTTTACAAGGACTGGCAATTTTTTCAGAAACTTTTGTGTTATTTTACACTCAGGCGTGGTGAACTCTAACTTTTGGAAGAACTTTCATAATTCAGCCAACATGTGACTAGTAATTCATTCCTACTATCCTAGCAACTACTATTTCCATAAGAAACTGTGGCCTTCAGCACGTATTCCTCATACATTTATGTCCTTACAAATCCACACTTATGCGTCTTATGTGCGTTTGATTGTCTATACATTCATTATTCTACCCAATAGCTATCTCCTTGTGGCCCCATGATATAATCTATTTTGAGTCATATTAACGCTTATGATGAGTAATATTTTAAGTAGAAACCCTCGTCTTCTGTGTTTTTATCTCTTCGTCTGTCCACTGAAATAAATAAATGAAACACAAACATCCAAAAAACTTATATCCGACATTTGATACATGCGTTGCTGATAACGTGATTTGTCAATAGAACATATACCATGTAAGTACGATCTATCTTTCGTTTACATCATTAACGATTCGACCATATTAAAATTAGACTGCGTGCGCTAGAAATCCAATTATTTAAAACTAAAACTTAAACATACCGCATATTTTGAGTCAATCACTACTAATAAGTAATTTCCAATGGAGAGAATGTAATAATAATAATTACTACCATTGTTATTATTATAACGATGCTAGTAGCAACTCTTATCAATTAATCAGGTGTAATTTCCTTGTTTGCAACAAACTATTTTATCTGGAATTTTTAATACACAATGTTATAATTAGTAGACTTGTTAGCATGATCTCTGTTAAGGGAGATGTGTTGACACCATTGATCTTGTTTAGTCGTCCTAACATTTCCTTTTCTAGCCCCAGCACCCCCATATTGTGGTTTTGTTCATGGTTTGTATTGCGTCTGGGTGTACATCTTGTGGTCGTATTTCATAGTCAGTGAGAATTTCAAACGAAAGTACGCACGATGTTTATTCTTATTGGTGTTATCTAGAGAATTGTTATTGACATCATGCCAATAGTGTTGTAATAGTGAATAAACTTGCTTTAATTGTTGAATAAATGGATTCCTCTGTCATTGTTCCTTCACTAGTTCTGGTTTGGAATGTGAGGACAGTTAAGCAAATTGTATTTCATTTTCGATTTGAACGTGAATACTCCGACCACGACAAACTCTTTGTCTCAGGAAATTAAAAGCCCCCAAATGCCCTGGTAAGACCGAGGGTGAGAGGGGTCAAATCTCCTCGAAATGCTCTCACATGGTTACGCGTAAACAGCGATTGCTAGGGAAGTCCTACTCACTGAATTCTCGCGAAGGAAGTGTTGTTTACGAAATTGAACGGACGAAAATCAAATGTCCGGCGCTTTAAGCGGGTTGGTGGATATGGAGGATCCACCTAGGGGAGTTGAAAACCCTTATTCCAAACCAATGGTGCACATGGAAACCAGAATCCTGAGGGAACAAATGGCGCATAAACCAATCATTGGTCACCAGCTACTATGGTACTGCATCTCCTGACATTGCTCCACTACCTTGTGGATCAGACCTTTAGGTCGAAGGATCCGGGTGTGACCCCCTAAGAAGACCACCTGCTTCGGTCTGGGCACCCGGGCAGTATCACAGCTCACACACAAATCAAGTGACTTGTGTGGCGCATATATATTCGGTGCCTTTTTGTACCAGTATTTATATTCAAATAAATAAATAATTTGAAAACGAAATCGTAAGTGTTTATAATCACTTTAAAATAGATACAAAGAACATGGACAACTTTCACAAACCCAAGTCAAATATTCGTACCAGATACAGAGGGTTGACTTAAACTGCTCTGATAATTTACAGGTGTACAAGAACGTGTACCCGAAAATTCATTTGGGGAATAATGATTATTTACAGTAGGTTTGGCTTCATTTGTCCCTGAGTTTAAATTATTTGAATTAAATCCATTATCTTCCGAGGTAGCCAGTGACCGATTATACTGTATACGATTGTAATGAGCATATACTTGGACGGCAAGAATTTTTTTGGCTTTATCTTGACCTACCACATAACGATCTAAGTATTGATGTATCTAATATAAATCGGAGTAAAGAGAACATTTCTAATGACAATAAACAAATATATGGAACAAATACATTAAATGAATTATTCGAAGTGGTAATAATGGTGAGAAAATCTATTCGATTCTCTAGTCTGTTTTCACTTCACTACTAGAAAGCTCATATTCCTTTTCTTCCTATAAATTATATTTAATTGAGACTGGGTTGGGAAAAAAAGAAGTTATACAGCACCTACAACTCACCAACAGAGCTTACTTTAGGTCAATTGTATTTGTCACTAATAAGACACAATAGATCCAAGACCTAATAATTAGGAACAATTTACAGACGTCAAATATTCCATATTAGAACATCTTATCAGGGCAAATTAATGATGGACAATATCATTTTTAAGTGAACCAAGATTCAAACACGTAATGATCAAAAAAACGTATAACTTCATGAATATGATAAACAAGGATGAATTGCCTTCTATCAAAGCATAATGTTTTCCATCTCAACCATTTTTCAACCTTGAGTAAACAGACCAAAAATATAGGACAAGGTTTTATAGTTATTTGAACAGTAACTAGCATTGTATGATGCAATTGTTAATGTGCATAATCTATATTGAATAAGACAACGAAATTCACTAGATGAAAGTTCATTCCACTAAGATATATAACATTAGCTGATGCCAAATTGATCACAATGTCACAGAAAATATATTTACTATTGACGAACTATAGTCCTACAAAAGATTTACTTCGAAAAAATCAGGTGATTGGTGGTTAATCAATATTTCTTTGGCTAATATCCATTTATAAGGAGAAAAAACAATACGAATAAGCTAACTGACAACAGAAAAAATAAACGGACGAATAAAACCACTTAAGGTTTACAAATGTTGATTTTTAACATCTTAGTGGCTCTAATTAACCTAGAAAATACACTGCTCAATATAGTTCTATACTAATTTGCATTGTATATTTCGGTAAACCGTGACTGGGTGAAGTCACCTGCTGTTAAGGGTTTCCAACTTCATAGACTAACTTACTCTTTTCCTCTCAAACTTTATAACATCTAAAGAAAATGTAACACATACTATAATTTCCACTAAAAGTGAATAACCTTTTGAAGGCCTGTGAAATATTATATACTAAGCTATTGCAGTCTCAAATAAAGTAAGACAAAATGGAGTTTTACGAAAAATATACTGGCTCTCTAAGCATTCAGATACTCTTTCAGTGCCATACATACATATCACACGTTGATATTTAACAAAGAGGTCTTGCAACGTCGCACTTAGACTTTGTTAGACATCAGGTAATAAACATACTCAGTCAATAATCATTATTTATAATCGTGTCAAAGAGTATTGCTATATGTTTATGAAACGCATGCGCCTAACATTTGCATACTTCCAGGATATTTATAATCTGTACATTAGATATTCACCGTCGGTACACAGCACAATTTCATTAACCATAACCTATTAGATCTATAGATGGTCTGTAAAAAATACCTGTACAACTACTAACCGTAAGCTATATTACAGGGTATTAAATTTTATCTAACGGAATAATTATACAGAAAAAGAACTCAACAATGTGTTGGATTACTACTCCAACCCCTACACTCATCAAATGTAACGAAATTAAAATTATCGAATGAATATTTGAGGAAAGTGACTGCTGAAATTCGATGAATAACGAAATATTCTAATTATCATTGGGAAACCGATTTAACTTCATCGTTTAGTTCTACGGTGATTTAGTTTAAGCTAAGAAAGTTCTGATGTTAATGGTTAGGGTGCTTAAGCAGTGTACATTTGAAACTTGGAACACATACATTCGCTCGAAATCGTAGACATACACCATACAGATGTGCTAACAAGCGTGGACCATAAATGACTTTCATATCTGCCAAGAAATATATGGTTATTATTGCCGAAACTCTTATGATCTCTAGCACTAACCACTTACCGATTTTATTCGTATTTAGACTACAGGGGTCAGTTGGATAGAAAGAATTAATCCGACTAATCCATCATTTTATTTTACTGTCATCACCGAAACTCGGGTTTGTACATGTTTAGATTTATCAAGCCTTTTAGTTAACTTATTCAAGTCTCATTTGTGTCGGCAACAACCGCACTATTATTATGCCCAGGCTTCTTTGATCATAACTCCATCTGTAGCCCTTCTAGAGTTACTGCCGGTCCCAAGCCCGAGTAAAGGAGGAGAGTTGGGCATGGGGTTAGCAACCCCATCCCGTAGAAAACTAACTCGCTAAAAACACGCTAACCAGAAAAAATAATTCAAACCATTTAAACTCTCCCCTGGGATTTAGAAGGTCTTCATTTAGAAGAATTATGACGCTTCATGGTGAAAGCCAAGTTCCTTCGGAAGCCACGAGGCCGATGCCCCTCCTAACAACCAGAGCAACAATTTTTATAGGTACACGGAACGTCCGGACAATGTGGGAGACTGAGAAGACCAGTCAAATAACAACGGAAATGAGGAGATACAAATTGGCAGTACTGGGAATCAGCGAAACCCATTGGACCCAAGCTAGACAACAAAGGCTAAATACGGGGAAGATGATGCTGTAGTTCGGCCACGAAAAGGAAAATGCTCTACACACTCAGAGAGCTGCTCTAATGCTATCCAAAGTAGCACGAAATGCACTTGTTGGATGGGAATCTCACGCATCCAGAATCATCAAAGCATCATTCAAAACAAAGAAGGAGGGGATCACAATGAATGTTAGCCAATGTTATGCACCCACCAATGATATCAATGACGACAATAAAGATCGATTCTATGAGAGGCTGCAATCAACCATAGCGAAGTGCTCAAGAAAGGACCTCAACATTCTGATGGAAGATCTAAACGCCAAAGTCGGAATAGAAAACACCGGATATGAAGATATCATGGGACAAAATGGATTGACTGGGAGAGAGAAACGAAAATGGGGAAAGATTTACAAATCTATATGCATTCAACAAATTGGTTATAGACAGCACAATATTTCCACACAAACGTATGCACAAAGCTAAATGGATCTCACCGGACCACACCACAGAGAACCAGATAGATCATATTTGCATCAATAAAAAATTCCGAAGGACAATGGAAGATGTGAGAACCAGGAGAGGAGCTGATATGGCTTCAGATCCCCACCTAGTTGTGGCCAATTTAAAACTGAAGCTAAAGAACAACTGGACAACTGGACAAACAGCACTACAAAGGTTCAATACAGCCTTCATACGAGATACCAACAAACTCAGTGAATTCAAGATAGCTCTCAACAACAGGTTCCAAGCTTTACAGGACCTACTGAAAGAAGAAGAAACTACTATGGAGGACAACTGGAAAGGTATCAAAGAAGCACTAACGTCAATGTGTCAAGAGTTCCTGGACCGTAAGAAGCATCATCATGAGGAATGGATCTCTAAAGAAACACTGAACAAGACCAAATAAGAGAAGAACAAGAAAACAGCAATTAATAACAGCCGAACACGAGCAGAGAAAGCCAAAGCACAAGCTGAGTACACAGAAGCAAACAAGCAAGTGAAAAAGAGCATTGAAGCCGACAAGCAGAAATATGTGGAAGAACTAGCAACGACGGTGGAAAAAGCTGCAAGAGAAGGAAATATGAAACAACTATATGATACAACGAAGAAACTAGCAGGGAGATATATTATTATTTATTTATTCATTTGAACACATAAATATTGGTACAAGGGGGCACCAGATATAGCAAACCAGAGAGACCTGTCAAGGACAAAGAAGGCAGAGCAATTACTGAAATTCAAGAACAGAGGAACAGATCGGTAGAGTACTTTGAGGACCTCTTGAATAGACCAGCTACATTGAATCCTACGGATGTCGAAGCAGCACACACAGACCTTCCTATACATGTCCCTCCACAACGACCGAAGAAATCAGGATGGCCGTCAGACAAATCAAGACAGGGAAAGCAGAAAGACCCGACAATATACCAGCTGAAGCAGTGAAGTCAGACATTGAAGTAACTATTCAAAAATATTTGGGAAGAGGAACAAGTGCCGATGGACTGGAAAGAAGGACACCTTATCAACATTCCAAAGAAAGGAGATGTGAGCAAATGTGAAAACTACAGAGGCATTACACTACTGTCAGTACCAGGGTAAGTCTTTGACAAAGTGAAGCTGAGCCGGATGAAAGAAGCAGTAGACGCCCAACTTCGAGATCAACAAACTGGATTCCATAAGGATCGGTCGTGTGCAAACCAAATTGTGACACTACGGATCATCCTCGAACAATCAGTTGAGTGGAACTCGTCACTGTACATCAACTTCATTGATTATGAAAAGGCATTTGACAGTGTAGATAGAAGGACGTGATGGAAACATCTCCGACACTATGGAGTTCCTGAGAAGACTGTCAACATTATCCGGAACTCATACGACGGACTACAGTGCAAGGTCGTGCATGGAGGACAGCTGACAGATGCATCTCAAATAAGGACCAGTGTCAGACAAGGCTGTCTACCCTCTCCCTTCCACTTTCTCGTTCTTCTGGTGGTCGACTGGATTATGAAGACCTCGACATCTGAGGGGAAACACAAGATAAAATGGACAGCTCTCATGCAACTAAAGAGTTTGGAATTTGTAGAAGACCTAGTCCTTCTATCTCATACACGCCGACAGATATAGGTGAAGACAGTCGGCGTAGCATCAGCGTTTGCAGCAGTATACCTCAACATACTCAACATCCATTGGCCGGATACCATCAGCAACAGCCTATTGTGGGAGAAAACAAACCAGGCTCCAGCTGAAGAAGAAATTAGGAAAAGACGATGGAAATGGATAGGACATACATTGAGAAAATCATCAAACTGAACCACGAGGCAAGCCTTAACTTGGAGTCCTGATGGGAAGCGGAAAAGTGGAAAGCCAAAGAACACATTACGTCGGGAAATAGAAGCAGATATGAAAAGGATGAATAACAACTAGAAGGAGCTGGAAAGGATTGTCCAAAACAAGGTTGGATGAAGAGTACTGGTGAGCGGCCTATGCTCCTTCACGAGTAACAGGCATAAGTAAGTTGTATGATCATAGATGATTGAGAATGTGTTACAGTTCACACATATATTCCTCTTACTAACCTAGATGTCAATTACTTAAAACGCATGATGACTCATTTGCATCCTTATAAATCTGTGCATTTTAATTTCTATTCATTCATTTATTCATATTCGTATTCGCATCGTGCTTGATGGTCGTTTGTTCTGTGGTGAGCGAAAATAAGCTGTATTTGCTTCTGAAATGTAAACACTGTTGGGAAATTATTATAATGACGGTTATCAGGACGAATGATATACGAAGTATAGGAATAATCTCGAAGATATTCTACTACAATATATCGCGACAATAGCGTCATAGACACTAAAAACTGTAAATACGAAACTAGTAATTAAAAGAGTAAACAAGGTATTAAAAAGACTACATATTTGCACAAAGAATGACTTGCCTCCTTAGGACTAACGAGCGAAAGATGTCGGCTTTCGTCTACATTACTAAATGATGAGAGATCACTCTTATCTGTTAATTCGTAGAGTTGTTCACATGCTTCACACTCCATGAAACGTGATATATCTGTAAAAGTGTATATAATTAATTATGAAGTTAGTAAAATCATTTATAATTGTTTACGAAATTGGTTACTTATGATGCATAACGAATACTCATAGTAAATAATTAGGGAGACTAAATGTAACTTAGTAAAACTCAGTAACTACATACCAACTTATGTAACTGAGCCTCATGCCATATTTTCTTTGGTGTCTAGTGATACTATCCGATCCCACGAACTTGCTTATTTTTACTCTTTTATAAATACTGGATGGAGCGTTTGCATTGGAATAAATAAACTTCACATTTTTTAAAATATACTGATAAAATACTTTAGTATATCAAAATTCTAATCATTATACGCGTTGGCAAACCTTACCCTATAGGTGCCAATAAACGATTTCAGGCGACCAGTAATTTATATTTACATTTAAATTTTATACTTCTTGGTACACCAATAGGTTACGTTCTCAAACACATTATGAAAGGCATGTCTATCATGAGACTGGAATTCACACAGCGCATATGTTATAAACGTTACTGCTACGTTATATTGTAATTAAGGATTAAACTGAAACAAATAATAGAAAAAAGGACGAAAACAAACGGTGCTTATATGTTCTCAGAGGATGATAAAGAGATTAGAATTTAGAGTATTATGATAAAACATAAATCTTTGAGGTATCTTAAACAATTATATGTGAATGATTTAGGTCGTCACTGATTCTTTAGAATTGTTTCATAGTATATACAAGTTAATAACCAGATAGGAATTCATGTTAGCCTTTTGTCTCAAATCGGTTAGTGATAATCAACACAGGACCTGGTACAGATGCTCATTCCATCAAAGCGAAAAGAGGAAATGAACAAGATGCATATCAAAGAAATTTAAATTATGGTAGCACCAAAGATACTAAGCAAAAACTGAGCATGAATACGGCTTGGGAAGTTTCTCATACAAACTATTTTACATTGTTCAAGTTTCACTAAATGATTCAACAGCTGAATAAGGAATATTTTATGTGAATTGTAAAAAGCAGTTGCCAAAGAAGAAACTGTTGTACACGGTTTTGGTTACCTTGTTGCTAGTGACTCATATGTGAATTAATATCATTCAGTATGGCTTCTTCCTCGTCCTTGTAGATTAAAGTAATCATTTTCTACTACTACTTGGCATTCATATTGCTTAACTAATATAATTTAGACTGATACAAATGCGTTTTACGTCCCACACTACTTATGAATGGCATTTTTTTATATTTCGTTTTATTTGTAATGATTAAAAGATGTAACAACTCTAATCGGTATATTATTGGGAAATGTCCTCGATTCGATCGCCTTTCTATTATTCTACACTTCAATGGTTACCACCAATACTTCGCCCTTCAATCCACTTGCAAAACACAATTTTGTATTCCCGTACTCGTAAGTGATGGTCAAAGTAAAAGTAGTTGCAATTAAAACATAACTATGGTGAGAAAGCATTCTGAAACCATCTTAAGTGAAAATAAATAGATTTAAATAACCAACTTGAAAACAGTCTAAATAAATCAACATTAAACAATTACATGATGCTTTTGGATCAAGAGATTTTAAAGGACCACCACATTTGTTACATCTTATGAAAGAGCCAGTGCCATTTCCAGAGCCTCCTCCTCCAGCACCACCAAGACGTTCCTTAGAACCGATACTATGATGGTTCACATTGGCGGAGTTGAGGGAACCACTACCTTCTGAAGGTCCCCCTGGGTTTTGACTTTTACCTAGTAAATATAAAGACAAGAACGAAACATAATGGTTTTCCTGAACAAAATATATGTTATGTATGGATTCACTTATTTTAGTTCTGTTTTCTCGACGTCACCGCTAATCATCTGTTACTAACTGGGTTATTTTGTTAATTCACAAGTGATCACTTCCCATATAACTGTGTCTAACAACCAAACAGTCAAACAGAAAGAAACAAGGAAGTGTTATTGATACATAAAGTTCGAGGGTTTACCACCCGACCGGCCAATTATAACAGCTCTTTCGAAACGCATCACCAAACATTATCCTGTCCAGCTTTCCAAAGGATTACAGAAGTCAGTGAAAAGCCCACTTTTCGAGCATCTAATCAATTCTGGTCATTTCGCTTGACCATAAACCTTTAAAATCATACATACAAAAGGAATAGAAACGAAAAACTTATGTACATAAGAAGCTCTTGTTATCTATCGTTTTAAGCCTAGCTTCTGTGTAAAAAACAGTATGTTCAACCCCTCATTCACTCATGGTTTTAACCTTCCTCTCTACTATAGCCTATCATTTACCATCTTCACTTTATTTCCACTCCTTCCAATTACTCTCAAAACTAATAATTAGCAATGATTATGACTCTTAATTATCCCGTTCCTTATAGCTATCAAGTGGACAATTATCTCCACCTTACCACTTTTTCACTAGCCGACTATTAAATTACCTCTCAATATCTGATTTTCGTAAACAATTCATGACAAGATACAACTTCAAGTTATTTAAATATTCAACACTTCTATTCTACAAAAGACTATATTTCGGCAAATAAAGTTAACTAAGTACGATTGTATGGTTTAGGTAAACAAAAATCGTCGAAAAGAAAAACTTTGAAGGACCGAATTTTTTCTTTAAGGACACGAGTTGCTTTCATTATTTCAATAATAAGATAGTGAAATATCGCTCTTATCAATATTTGATTCTGTTACACTTATAACCACAACCTATAGCCATATAGCGAATGTATTAACTTATTTCAACGATCGGTGGAAAGGTCATAATTGAACATAAATAGCGCAACTATGTACGTTTCCAGAAAATGGGAAATTAATCGTGAGGACTGAATGAAAACATCAATCATTGACTCTAGCGTGTTGACGACACAATTACAATGCATCCCTTCTTGACGAATGATAATAAGTATCAATACCTACCTTAATGCTACAAGTAATCTTCGAATACCAAGGATTCAAGAAAGAATTACAAAAGATGAGGGACGGTTAAATTCCAGGTACAGAAATAGGATAAAAATAGCTTCCATAGAAAAACAATACATAAGCATTTAGTCAATAGGAACCTTCCCAAAGAAAACAACATGTTCACTTGAGATTGAAGGTTCATTAGAGCCGCTAATGGTTCACTAACAAGAACATTTAAGTATTCAGTCAGCTGCAACGTAGGACCAGGCACATATATGCATCAGTCCAAGTTGCCACACCGCATTAGCGAAACAAGATGAACATCGAATTTTTGGAAGTATTTGAAAGTTAAGTCACACAAAATGATTAGTAACAGCCAGAGTGTAGTTTTAAATGGATAAGAATGAATGTGTAAACCAATACCATTAGAATTTAGGTCACACGGGGCGAGTGGTAAGAAATGTCAATGTAATGCATAGCAAAATCAGAAACTTTGACAAGCATGACATATTTGGGACCAAGAAGTTGCGAAACTCTAAAGATTTCAGACAATTTAGACGTTTTTTCGGTGTTTACAATGACTTAAAAGAGCGAACTACTGAAACCTTCCATAGGACTATTTCAACCCTTTTTAGTAGTATACAAACTAATACTACTTGTTTGCTTATGAGACGCATATGCATGTATTAAGAAGCATATTAAAACACCTTGATCAAAAAGCCGGTCTCACAAATTTACTTTAGAATTTTAAAAATCTAGAAAGGTGGGGATAAGGTCAAAATCATAAGCTTGAACCTACCTGCTCATAACCGATTGACTGATGAGACCAATTTCGAACGATCCTAAAGGGACGCTAAAAAAATCCTCAGGCTGATTACCTACTAACTATGGTTAAGAGATGATCATATATAGCAGTTTAAGGAATTATGGTTATTATTTACAAATGGACGTCGAGGTTAGGAATTGGAGGAAGGGTTTTCATCACGAACTGACTTCAGCTATAATGCCAATATGCTTGTTAGTCAAACGAATGAATTAAACTCTCTCCAAATTCAACACCTGTTGTTTTAAACCTGACTAGTTTGTCTAGAAATCAGTCTCGCCTATTCAGCCACAAACACCACAATTCGTTGGCAAAAACTCATTTCTCTTCATAAACATGAGATCAAAACGACAGGAGCAGGACGTATTAATCACACAGCACTCTAATTTGCTTCATGATACCGGGAAATAAAGCCTTATCATCGGATATTTAGGCAAAAAACGATTCCCCGTATATACTGCATGAAAAAACTTTGATCTAAAATACTCACTACTTTTGCGGCATTCGGCCGTTTTGCAATGCCCCGAAATGTTGCAATCTTCGTGAACATCAACGTCTGAAACCCGTGAGAGTGTTAGATTTTCGTACGTATTCCACGCATTATTTCCATAGCGGGCAACAACTAATCACTCTATAAAGCAGTAAAACATACTTAACAATCCACGTCCATGTGTCTTCCAGCTTTTAAAAGCACAAGAAAATGCAGAGGAAGCGAAATTACTCATAATTAAAAGAACTACAGAACCAAAGATACAAAACAGATTTCAACGCCACATTTGAAATCTGCGCACGGATCCAATGGTTCAAATGGTTCGATTGATTGTGGACGGAATAAAAGAAGCTTTAGCCTAACGGGCTTCTTCGTCTAGTAGCAGTGAAACATAAATACCTTCAGGCAGAAACCTAGATATATTAACGATAACAGAGTAAAAAACAATTGCTAAGTCATAATAAGATATTATCCTTAGACCTTAGGAATAAGTCAAAATGCCTCTTAAATGACTCCTAGGAAGTCGCAAACTCCATCGTTTGACGACTCTTAAGGAGTAGAACGTGTTTCCACTGTCCGTTCTGCTGTGTTGTGTCTCTAGTTTCTGGGTGTCACCCCTTAGTTTTATGTTGGAGCTAAACTTAAGTAGGTGTTTAAAGGGGATGTCCAGAAGTGTTAAGGATAGTGTAAGCCATAAGAAGGTCAAATCTAGGACACCTATACTCTAATGTCTAAAGGTTTAGTGATTGGAGGCGCTCTTCACAAGAATTGGATTTTGAGTCCGCGGACTGATTCTGTTGCTCGCCGTTGGATACACTCCTGAGTGGCCTTATCCTTTTGGAGTGAGGGAGGAAACACTATGTTTCCGTATTTAAAATGGGGATGAATAAAACTGATGAAGATAATATGGAATGTTCTACCGTCAAACTGGCCAAAAATGAGCTTCAATGTTATCAGTGTAAGATTTGCTCGAAAAGCATTTTTGCCACAGTCAGCGTATGACTTCAAATCGTAGGGTACCAGTCCTCCTAAATCTTTTACAACTCGGGATACGTTTGGAGAGTCTTCTAAGTTGAAACTGTAGTCTGCAACATGTTTCAGATGGACTACTTTTGTCATCTGCCCAATCATGAAGTCGAGTCAGATCCCCCTGAAAAGTCAGTATATCCTCTTGGTCGCGTATCTCTCTCTCCAAAGTTTTACATCATCGGCAAAAAGTAATAAGCCAGACGACACCTGTTGTGGAAGGTCTTCTTATAGAAATCAAGAAAAGATTAGATCCTAGTACTGAACCTTGGGGGACGACACCAGGACATTCCATAGCCTGAAAGAAAGTGAAATTGACCCTGACCCTAAAATGTCGATTTCCCAGATATTAAGTGAGCCAGTCAATTAAAGGTGATTTGATACCCAATCATTTGAGCTTATTGATAAGACATTCATGGTTGACCCTATCAAGAGCTTTTGAGAAGTCAAGACAAATGATGTCAACCTTCCCCATGCGATCATGGATGGTTGTCCATCTGTTCGCCGCAGCTAGCATGCTGGTTATACAAGAATGACCTTTCCTGAAACCATGCTGTTGGTGTGAAAAGAAGTTTAAGGATAATAAACAGTCGCGCATACCGTCTCATATCAGGGACTCAGTAATTTTTGAAGGAATAGAGAGAACGGCCACTGGTCAGTAGCTTGAAGGTTCATTGTGTCGACCTATATCTTTAGCATGAACATATGTAGAATTACGGCCTACTTCGTTATTATTACCGCTCTAATAATAAACTTAATCCTAAAATTCTAGATTTATCATGATGTAACTGCCTAACCTATAAGATCGTACGTGAAATTCACATTATGATCGACACCAACTCATCGCGTTGTAACAATCATTACTATATAATGAAGAACACATTCAAGCTAGAGATAGAACAATACATTTAATCTGAATAAAAAATAAGATAACGTTTAACAGTGACCACGCCTGCATGGCCACGCCATCCGATCAATTCGAATTCATACCATTTCTTGTTCCCGCTTTCTCCATCGATGGGTTTTTCTCCGCGCTAAATATTTGATATCTAGTTTTTCAGTTGTCTCGTGTTCAGCTTTGAGGATTGTGTGTTTAGGGCCCAATGAAACTACAATGGCATTTGGCTATTTGACTACAATAATTCCAGTCAAAATAGAAGTTATTTGTGGATTTGTTTATCAAACTACATAGATCTGACCTTCGGATGGAAATCCTAGAGATCTGTATAAGTTTATTACCTATTTTTACGTTGCAGTTCATGTTGTTTTTTAGCTACATTTGAACCACTTGAATGGGAATTAACTAATGCAGGCAGAGAAAAGAAATTGAAGTTTTGAATTCCGTTATGAGAAGTAATTAGTAATCCTTAAAGGAGGTTTGACATTTTCTTTATCTGGTACAGCCTCAAAAAGTTTGTCGTTAAATCGTGTCCGACCTTGGAAGTCCAAAATTACTGCTATATTTCCGCAACGAAAACAGTAATTTAGAGCTGAAGAAATAGTGATTAGCTTGTAGAATTATGGTCTACTACGATATTAGTACTTCTTTATTAATAGACTTGATCCTAAAATTGTAGATTTGTCATGATGTATCTCCTCAGTCTATTGCAGCGGTAAATAAATCCCCAAAATAAATAGCACTAAGTTTTGGACATTGGATGCTGACTATATGTTTTAGTGGACTCATCTAGCTGAAGGCGCTCGGTCAGGCATCCGCACCAGATCACGTGTGGTAACGCCGTGCTCAACATCAACCGGAACCGCTAGCCAGATTAGACCAGAGAATTCCGATATATTGGTCATCGCCAAATATACTCTTCCGATCTCCTTGACTCTGTCTTTTGATTTCTCTGGGTGGGAACGAAATACATTAGAAGGTGTTACTGGTAGAAGCGTTGTCAAACACTGAATACCTGTTACATCATCATTGGTGAGACCGTCATGATCTGGTACACCTTATTGCAACTGTGAGTCTGTTCCTTTTCGGGATTTTTATATATCATTGCCTTATTTTTTTATTTTTTTAACGTTGTGATTTTTTTTCGTATTTTTTCTTGGATATATATATTTTTCCCCTTGTTCATTATCGTACTTCATATTTCATCATGACTGAACAGACACTTAAAGTACTCAAGCTTAAGACCTTGTCCTCACCTTCGTTTCAGCTGATGTCTTTCTGGCCCGACAACATCGAAGCCTGGTTTTGCTACACAGAAGCCGACTTCTCCGAGCACGGCGTGATCGACACACGTACACAATTCCTCGCAGTAGTCAAGGCAATACCGCGCGAATTCAACAGGTACGTGACACCTAGTATGTTTACTAGTGATGTTTCCGATCCTTACGAAATCTTAAAACGCTCGATTCTTAAACGAGGAGACCTAACCGATTGACAAAGTTTAGATCAACTCTTCAATAACATCGACTTGCAACACGGTTCTGCGACAGACATGTTGCAACGGATGAGAGAGATTATAGGCCCAAGAACTTTCGACGAAGGTCTATTCAAACAACTCTTCTTGTCTAAACTTACCCAACAGGTGCAAGCAGTTCTGGTCTCGTTCCAGAACAACGCCCTAGACGAGTTAGCTGCATCTGCCGACCGCATTCTAGAAATTACGAAACCTACTACCGAGGTATTTTCAGTCAAAGAAAAGCCTCACACGACTCAGAATGATATAACCAACTTATGTCACACACTCACGTGTTTTAATAACAATAATAATAATAATAATATATTTTTGCATGTGCAGGTACACACCATTTTTACAGGCATGATCTACAAATTACAACATTTGTTGGTTCGCAAAATGCTTCCCAACTTATTCAGTTTATAGCTGTTATAAAGTGAAATCGTAGAGCGCTTGCTGTAAACTATGACCTTGGGAGGACGCGTACGTCAAGTTTGCTCCAAACGTCAGAAGTTTCATAGCTGTGCTCTCAGAGCAAGATTCTGAAGGAGAAAAAAAAGAGAAACAGAAGAGCAGCAAGGCACTTGGATATGAACGCCAAAGGTTGCTTAACATTGTGTAGTAGAACGGACAGAGGTATAATAAATTGGAATAAATTCATATAATGTCTTGTTAGAGTGAAGTGAAGTAAGAGGCTCCATATTAGAGAATGTACTAATAAAGAACAACGAGTTATGATGTTTAACAAGTTGAAGTGAGCTCACATGAAGGAAGGGAAGTCAAGGTTGGTACAAGGGAAGCGGTTTATTAGAAGGGTGTGTATATAGAGGGTGAAGTGTTAAGAATACTAGTGACTATATCTTTTATTGTCTTTTTTCTTTTCTTTTTTTGTCCATCCGATGTCAGCCACGCAATCCTAGTGTAAAAGTCCGAGTTAGCATGTTATAGGTTGTCTTAGTAGAATAGCTAATCCAGCATATTATTGGAAACATGAGTCTGAGTGGTGAGCGTAGGAAGACAATCTATATCTTAGATTGACTGACTTATTCTCAATTATAAGGAGCCTGATACATACAAAATGTTCTGTCCCCACAAACACGGGTGGATTGAAGTTATCGCCCTCACCATCAATGCTTGCTGGTCAGTAACTCTTTCGTGCCTTGAAGTAACCCTCGTGCTATTGATAGAAGAAACCAGACAAGTAGTGAATAGGTCTTTATTTCGATCTTCGCGCAGTCACAGTGGAGCGTGGGATTATCTGTTCAGACAAACAAAGGCTCTCAACATTCAAGATAATAGGGAATATAACGCTTATAAAAAATAAGGAAGTGAATGAATACTTGAACAATACTGTTTTGGCATAAGCTTGGTTGTTTGGGGTCAACTCTTAACCAACCAACCTGAGCTGTTACAACTCCACCCTCCCTCCTTTTGTGATGTTAGGCTCATTTAGGCTTATTTTTGTATATACGTCATACCTCACACAATCCTCTGTTTCACAACCTGTTGGAAAGCACTATTTCTATAAGTACCATTTTACAAGTTTATCAGGCAGTTACAAGCTATGGACTGTGGGTAAAGCATCGATGCAGTGCCTCTGTTGTCTATAGTATGCCAAACAGAGTATAAGCGTTAAGAAGGGTATATTGTAGGACAGTTGTTTATTTAAGCAGGCGGAAAAAGTATAGAAGTATATGAGTTGTGGATAAGGGAACGAGTGGAGAAATAATATTAATTGCTAGTCAACATAGTGTACAGAAGAGTAAAAAGTTAATACAGGATAAACAGGAAGGAACTCACAGTAACTTGGTGCCGATGTTATTTTCTGTTGTCTTAACCAGTTGATTGGTAACAGGTTCCATAGATGCAAGACCACTGGTAGTAGACAGCCGAT